TATTTCCTCAGAACAGTAAATATTTCTTGAAAGCCGAGATTCCTCTCCACCCAACAGTGCCAAAAAAACCCTCATGTAGATTGGCAACTCAGAGAAGCAGGGTCTCAAATATTGTAATGTACCATGACAATACCTATTTCTAGTGACATGGCACCTGACCGACTGTTAGTCGAAATCCCGACATTCGAATTCCGACCGCACAATTCCGACTGTCGGTCGGGATTCCAACTACTGCAATGATGAAATCTCAACTCGGTCGGAATGAAATTTCGCTCGGATGTCACCACTACTTAGTTTAGTGGCATGACTTCTGAAAAAAAAACTTACTCAAAGCTTGCCAACTGAAAACGCTTTCTTAAATCGATTTTAATCCTCTATCAAATGTGCACGTTCCCCAGCCAATTTCCTTTTTGTGGCTCAAAAATCTCAGTGAATACGGCTTAGATATTTGAATGCATGGACAACTGTGTAATCAGTGAAGCAGAGCATAGTCAATGGCAAAAAGGCTAATCACTATTTATTAGTGTTATTTTAGAGTGCGGAAAAGTTGCCACTTCGATAACACTTCGAATTTTCGCTCAATGCCCACTTTGATACGGTATTCGTGCTGACATCAATTTAGAATGGATTCTCGATATACTTATCTTCGTCCAAAACCTTGCCGGATCTTTACTCTGATTCGCACAGGCGACAGCACCTTGATTAATCGAGATTCGAAATACAAGAAGCAATATTTTTTGCTGAATCTTCCATCTGGATATGACTGATGCTAACGAACAGTTAGTTATTTATCAATTTTCAATGTGAAATCCCTTTCAATTTCAGTTTCAACACTTTTACTCATTGCATTTTAATTTAATTCTAATTTTGAGTAGTAAAATTACTTTCATCATTAAGAAAATCACTAAGTTTGCGTTTAGAAGTTGTTCTATTCGACTCAGCTTTGGAAATAATTGTGTAGCCCGAAATGATAGATGGAAGCTGAGTGAGGTTGTGACTGCATGACCTTTGTAAAATTTCACCGAATCGTAACTGTTCGAATTAAATTTAAAAAGTTTATCTGAGCCGGTATTCAGGCAGAATTATGTGAACAACAGTGGTGCAACTGCTGCTGTGCCTTCCGGCGCCCAAGCCGGCTTGGACCAAGAGGGTCTTATCGAGGTTTGTTTTTATGATTTGCTTGTTGATTTTGTGGTTTGATTGTGGTGATGATGGAATATAAGTGGTGCTAATTCAGGGTAATTGGGATCAAGTTTGTGAAAGCTTTGATGATATGAATCTAAAAGAGAATCTTCTTCGTGGTGTTTATGCATTTGGTTTTGAAAAGCCGTCTGCTATACAACAACGTGCAATCGTGCCGTGTTGTATGAAACGTGACGTGATCGCGCAAGCTCAGTCTGGAACTGGCAAAACCGCAACATTCTCGGTGTCTGTTCTTCAAAACATCGACGAGTCATTAGCTGAGGTTCAGGCACTTATTATGGCACCAACACGTGAATTGGCTCAACAGGTATTGAGACGTTATTTGTTCATGCTAAAGAGCGATGATGATATGATTTGCCCTCTCGTACGTACGATTAGATCCCGTACAAAAATGGCGATCCAAATAATCTGAGCTCAATGTAATGGATGTCAGTCAAGCAGCATCAATGATCACGCTCAGAGCACTGATAATTAAAATGAATATTAAAGATTCAAAAAGTGATGGTATCGTTGGGTGAGTATATGGGTGTAAAATGCCACGCATGTATCGGTGGTACGAATGTGCGAGATGATCAGCGCAAGCTTGAATCTGGTGTTCATATTGTAGTTGGTACACCAGGACGTGTGAATGACATGATTAAGAGACAGTCGCTTCAAACGTCCGCCATCAAAATGTTCGTGTTGGATGAAGCCGACGAAATGCTTTCGCGTGGTTTCAAAGATCAAATTTATGAGGTGTTCAAGTGCATGCCCAATGACGTTCAGGTATTTTTTTCGTAAATTATCGATTTATTGACGGGTATTAAACGGTACTGTTTGAAGGTAGTGTTGTTATCAGCAACAATGCCAGCAGAAGTATTGGAAGTAACAAATCGATTCATGAACGACCCGGTTAGGATTTTGGTGAAGAAAGAGGAATTGACGCTTGAGGGTATTCGTCAGTTTTATATCAATGTGGAGAAGGAGGTATTATTAGCTTTTGTTAGGCTGTTATCCTTACATTATATGATTATTGCAACTAGTGATGCTTGCAGGAGTGGAAATTTGAGACATTGTGTGATCTGTATCAAACAGTGAATGTCACTCAAGCAGTCATATTCTGCAACACTCGCAGGAAGGTGGATTATCTGGCGACGCAGATGACTAAAGAGAATTACACAGTCTCATGTATGGTAAGTTTTTATTGTTCAATATCCTTATTGTATGTAACACAATAAATATTGAAGCACGGAGACATGGAGCAGTCAGAGCGTGACCTGATTATGCGCGAATTTCGATCGGGTTCATCTCGTGTTCTGATCACCACTGATCTGCTGGCACGTGGTATCGATGTACAACAAGTCTCTTTGGTCATCAACTACGATCTTCCGAGCAATCGTGAAAACTACATCCATCGGTACGTCTATTATTGTTTTTGTTGATAATGCTTTTGGCACTATTATTATATGTGGTATGATAACATAACAATAATTAAGTATCGGACGTTCGGGTCGTTTCGGTCGAAAGGGTGTTGCGATCAATTTTATAACAGAGCAAGATTCGAGACAGTTGAAGGATATCGAGAGCTTTTATAACACTCAAATAGAGGAGATGCCGATGGATATTGCGAATCTTCTTTAATGATTTTTGTTTGATGAATGTGAATCAATCAGTTACTTGTGAATCGTTGTTGTGTTGGTGATGAGTTGAGTTCGTTTTGATGTATTATTCTATCGATTGATTGCTTGCTTCGAGTGGAGAAATAAATAAATAAATTTGTTGGTTGGATGGATGCTTTTAGTTTGTTCTTTTATTTTTTGAGAATGCTGCACTTAATGCTAAAATTGCTTGGTATCATTATTTAAGCATGCCATTCTCTGCGCCTCTCGCAGCCGATCATCGTTTACATTCAAACGAGTGATTGATTAATTGGTTGCTTGTTGCGCTTGATCGATTCATTATCACATTCACTATGTGGTAACTTAATCCGGTTATTTCATCTTGAAATGTTTTTTTGACGAGGTGTGTGCAGTTCTCGTCGATACTCTGTGGTTTCTATTAATCGTTGGTTTAGGTTGCATTCTGGGTTGGTGTCATGGAGTGATGCGATACACTATTGTTTTATTATTATCGTTATTATTACTCTCGCGATTGTTATTATCTTCATTAAAACTATTGTCATTACGGATATCCCGTTCTTTTTTTAAGTATTACATCAGTGGAAATATTTTATAATCCGTCTCATTAATCGCTTCATTTCAGTGGATTGTCTCTTCCCAGATCTTTTCAATGAGTGTTTTGGCTGTTGCATAAGCGTTCATATTTATCGATTCATGGTGATTGTTGGATTTAGTTCATGGTTTTGAGTATTATTTGTTATTATTTTGTTTTGTTAAGACCATAAACAAAATTTTATTGTTTGTTCATGGTTCATCCTATTGTTTATGACAATAATAATGATTCACTGATAGTTGCGTGTTGCATTATAAAGGTGATTCGGCACACTTCAAGTTTAACTGTCATCTGTCGCATTTTGAGCAAAAATTTTTCAAAGTCCGAAAGAGAAGGCCCTCTCAGATCACTTTTCTCTCTGCTTTCATTACGAACATCTCATGTATCGTTCACCATAT